CTCCACTGTATTGAAGAATTTTCTGGAATGTTTCTACTTGCCTTTCTTATACTGTCTCCCTGATGACAAAGATTGAATTCTCAAAGGCAAAGTCATGTTTGAAATAAGCCCAGAAGATTGAATTTTAGAAATATTAGTAGAAAGAAAGGTCAAGCATTTTATGAGGCATGCTAGATTCAGAATTATGTATAACAATTTTTCATCACATAAAAAGAAAGGTATAGACATGCTCCGAACCCATTTTTCCTACTCTTCAAAGTAACCTTTTAATTTCCCTGAGTTTTTCATTTGTTGAAAAGATTTAGACATTCCTAGTCATATCAAACTTTCTTAAATTAGGAAAATTTTCTGATGCTTTTTGTATATTTACAAAAATGTGTTTGTGAGTTTTCTGAGACTTAACTCTTAGACCTCCATCTTGTGAAGTGAAGTTTCATTAGTGAGACCATTTTATATGTTGCCAAGACAGACCACTTTATATAGAAATTTCATTAAGTAGTAGATAGCAAGATGGAGAGTATTAATATGTTTAATGCTTTCTTGACATTATTTGAAAAGTCTTTAAGCCTTAGAATCATAGACATTTTTTTAGTTAAAATTGGGCTTTTCTAAAATCCAGTTATTTTAAGAGATAAGACAATAGAGACCTAACATTTGTGGCAGAACCAGAAGTAGAACACGTTTTTATTCCATATTGTGCTGATGTTTCTGATACAAAACATGTTTCTTAGAAAAGAATTCTGAAAATGCAAATAGAAGCGTGAAGAACAGTCTGCATCATAGCAGCTTCTGTGCTGGCACTCCTCAGAGTGTGGACCGCAGATTGATGCTGGCCCACAGACTGTTACTTGTCCACACTGAGAGAAGGAGAGAACTCGGCGGTGTTTAGAAACTTTTATAGTGATTTGACATTGCTACGGCCTCCAAGCACATGATCTAGTCATTCATTTTTATGTTTTTTTACGAAACTATCATTTTGGCAGAAATTGGAAATTTTAAAATCTCATCCTTCCCCACAGAGAGTTTGAAAATCACTACTCTGGAGAATGTTTGTGAGGCTCCTGAAAGAGTTCCAAGTGGAAAAGGAGCTAGATAAGAAATCACTAACAGGTAGAGGAGGGGAGCGGGAGGAGGGAGAGGAGGCCTTGAAACCACTCGGCAGTAGACACAGCTGAGCAGAGCAGAGCAAAAGACCCAAATTGTATGTCCCATGTGAAGGGAAGGTTAATTTGCCCCTTAATAGAAAAGAAGTGCTCTCGTGGGTTATGAATTCTCAGCCTTCTTTCAGCCTCCTGTGACAGAAACCAAACTCAAGCTAGCTCCAGCACAGGAAAAAAAAAGAGAATTCATTGGCTTGCGTAACTGGAGACTCTTGGTGTAAGCTTGTCACAGAGATTCTAGGGACTTGGGGCCATCATTCTTATTTATTCATTCATGCTGTCCCAATCCTTACTCTAACCCTCTCTCCCATCGTTTCTTTCTCGGGATTATCCCACTCTGTTCTACCACAGATGGGATTCTGCCGTGTGGTGGGGGAAGGAGAGTGGCTGTAGGTAGTGCAAGGCTTATATCACCTTCCCTTAGCCACTCCAGAGGTAAGAGGGAGCCCTTCTCTCAGAGCCCATGCGTAAAACCCCAAAGGAGCACTCTGAATAGCCCCACTGATGCAATGTGTGCAATTTGGGGCCATTCATCACAGCCAAAGGGAGAGGAGAGTACTTTCGTGCACATGCCTGTGGCCCAGGGTTTGGGTTAACTTAGGATGGAAATGGGGTACTATGATCAACAGCCCCACCAGAAACCCCGAGTTGAGCGCAAGTTCTCCAAAGATAAAGGGATGATGCAGAACAAGCAAGAAAGGTTCACTGCATTATAGAGACTAATCTTTTCATGTCAAAACTAAAAGGTATGAGAAGTAGCAGGAGGTAGGAGAGATAAGAAGGAAGACAATCAGAACAAAGACAAGGAAGAAGAGCCCCCAGCAGATACTGAAGCTCTGATGGGGGATGGGGGTAGGTGTTGAGCAGCAGAGAAGCAGTGTCAGACAAAACAGAAAAGGAAAGTGGAGGGGTGGAAAGTCTTATATATTTTATTGTCCTCCGAGGACATCAGCCATGAGACAGCTTTTTAGTTCTGGAATACGGTAGATGTCAATCAGCCAGTTAGAGCTGAAAATCCTCTAACAGTTTAGAGTATACTGTTAAGCCATAGCAACTGCTTGTCAGTTATTTTATGCTTCGGCAGTTATCCAGCACAGTGTGATGAGAACAGCATCTGGCAAATTTTTGTTTTCCCCCAACCCCCTCTCTAGTATTACCTTATTGATATAACTTTAAAGTCGGAGTGGGTTTTTTTTTTCTCTAAATATGAAATACCGTTACAAAAGAATCTCTGTAAAAGATCCATTATACTGGCCTCGTGCACAAGTTTTATACCTGACATAACATTCAAGATGTATTTTTTAACATCATTTGTGTCTAGAAATCTGTTCAGAATCAGAGCCTTGGAGAAAACTGTGACTTGACATCTTGTTTGAGTCTTTGAATGGTGGGCTCTGGAGTTAATCTATTCACCAATACCTGAACTCATGAGAGCAGACTCTCTCACATGCCATGAACATGATCGTGCGGGTGAGGCAGGGCCAGTGCCGGCTGACAGATGGTGCTGTGGCTCATGGTAGAAACCCTCGATCAAATGTGGACCCGGAAAAAGAAGCTGTGCTCAGGTGAACCTGTTTAGCTGTCAATCAGTGCTGCTGAAATTGTGGTCCTGGAACCAGCAGCATCAGCATCACATAGAAGCTTAAGAGAAATGCAAACTCATGGGCCCCATTCCCTGGTGGGGAATCTCTGGGCGTGGGGCTCAGGAATCCGTATTTAACAAGCTCTTCAGGTGATTTTATGTACCTAAAGGCTGAGAGGCACTGGTATAAATAGTGGCAGACTATCCACTAACCTTTTGGGAAAAGCCCAAAAGGTGGTTGTAGGAACGAGACTGAGGTTTGGGTGAGAAGACAAGACTAGAGCTAAAAGGAGTGATTGTCACAGACCATTGAGTTATATGCCCATTCTGGGAATGGCTGGCCCAGACTGCAGTAATAACTGCCAAACTAGTCTCTTGGCCTCTTTCTCCCCTCTTTCTGTTTAATCTCAACCCATCTGTCAGTGACCTTCATAAAGTGTAAATCTGATCACGTCACTCACCTTCTTGAAATTCTTCTGTGATTCCAAATTGACAGAAAGATAAAGTAGAAACTTCTTAGATTATCACATGAGGCTTTTCATTGTTTAATTCCATTTCTTCATTAATGACTTATGTTCCAGCGAAAAGAACTACTCAGTTTTCTGAGTAGTTTAGTAATTTAGAAGTTTAGTGATATATTCCTACAGTCTTAATTTTTATTGCAAATAGTGTTTCTTCTAACTGGACTATTCTTCCTTTGTCTGCCATTTCTACTCGTATTTAACCTTTGTGATTTAGCCCCCCAAATTTTATCCTCTATGATATAGTCCTTGATACCTTTTGCCAGTTAACCACTTCCCCAGTAGCAACTATTTTATTGCATTTTAATTATTTACTGTATGAGTCTACCTCTAAACTGAGATGCTAGAAACTAGTGATCTGTTGTAGTCATCTCAGTGTCTACTGCAGCCTGATATACCTATGGCAGTTGGAACAATGCCTGGCACATAGCAGTGAATGTTTTTAGGATGTACGAATGAACAGAAACCCACACCAAACCTACTGCAGAAGACTTTACATGCTCTATCTGGTGGCAAATACTACTTTACAAAAAGATTTACTTAAGTATGGAGATACTATTTATCCAAGATCAGATATTCAATATCTTAGGATAAAATCCTGAGTTTAAAATTACATTATAATACTGGTGATAGAGCTGGTAAAAAGACCCAGTGTTTGGAATGCTTACCCCAGTGTCCCTCTAGTGACCCTGACTGATACTTAAAGGAGGACTGGGTTATGAAGTTCATTTTCATTGAGCTTTGACATGTGACAGCTGTACAAAGGCAAAGATTTTCAGTTAATTGACGTTTGAAGTTGTTTTTTAGTAATCTTCATCATCTTTAAGAGGTTTACTTCTATTCCAAATTCATTTAAACTTTTAAAAATCAGCAATGACTGAATTTTATTGGATTTCTATTTAGCTTAGTTACTATGATGGTTTTTCTCCTTTAAGTTTTGATGTAATAAGTTATATTGATGTAATGCCTAATATTGGACCATTTTTGCATTCCTGTACCATATCTTCCTTGGTCAAGGCATTATTCTTATAGTAATGTATTACATCTGCTAACATTTCATCTGGATGTTTTGCATTTATCTTCCTAAGAGTAATGGGCGTCTATTGTATGCATGTAAATATTGAGCCATGTAACTCTTTATTATGTGCTAGAAATCATTTGAAATAAGCATTGAATCAGGCTTCCCTCAAAGGTTGAATTTAGGCACAAGAGTTCCAACAGGTCTACCAAGTCAGGAATCATGGTAGCTAACATTTATTAAGTGCTTACTTTGTGCTAGTTACTCTTTTAGCTGCTTTTTATGTATTAACTCATTTACATCCTATGACATGCCTATGAAACAGAATTATTATTATCTTCATCTTGGGGCTGGGGAATTGAGACACAGAGACATGAAGTACTCAGGGTCACATACATGGTAAATGGTAGAGTCAGGATTTGAACTCGGGTATTCTGGCTCTGGAGCCTACACTCTTCACCATCGTGCAGTATTTCCTCAGCATGATACTGGGAGAAAGAGAAACACAAATCCCAGGGGTTATTTGTTCAAAGACAGAATCTGACATAATCATTGTTAATAACTTATGATTGACTATTTAAACAATGTAGAATTTATAAGAGAAATACCATAACTACATATCATCTCTTACCATAATATAGATTGGAGGAATAGCTGTATTTAACTATTTAAAAACTTAAATATTACCAAAGTAATACTTTTTCTTTTTATCTTTTCAGCAATCTTGACACAGAAGAACTATGTGGTAAGTTCCTTTAAGACCAATTGAACTCATTACTTGCTTTAGAATGAAAAAGAACACTGTCTTTTATATTTCTACGTACTTTGAAATTAATGTCATAGATTAGGACTTCTGGAATAAAATAAAAGATAATCAAGATCTCAAGGGATTTCTTTATCAGTGAGTTTTGCTCAAGTGTATATTTCACTGAGGAAAGAGTTGGGCCTCATAAATTTGTTAATGGAAGGAGAATTGTTATTGAAATTGGTATAATTAGTTTCAGAAGAGCAAATTCTCCACCAGTTTAAATATATTTTTAAATTGGTGTTTAATAAAACTTCATTATTCTCTTCAAATATATTGTGCAGAGCCTTTTGTTAGTGTTTTTCAAAGCTGACCCTTTGACATGTAAAAACAACTTTGTCCCATACCTGCCTAAACCATTCTGGAATTTTAAATGTCACTTGCAAAACAAGTGATTCAATGGCTAGAGAGAAATCTTTTTAAATTCCTGATGTAATGACCTCTTCATTTATTTTCTTCATCTTTGTGGTTGGAAACAAAAGTCAAAGGTTACAAAAGTAGGAATGCAAATTTTGTTTGTTTGTTTGTTTTTTGTGAGGAAGATCAGCCCTGAGCTAACATCCATGCCAATCCTCCTCTTTTTGCTGAGGAAGACAGACCCTGGGCTAACATCCGTGCCCATCTCCCTCTACTTTGTATGGGACGCGGCCACAGTATGGCCTCACAAGCGGTGCATTGGTGTGCGCCCAGGATCTGAACCCAGGCCACCAGCAGCGGAGCGCATGCACTTAACTGCTACTCTACGGGGCCGGCCCCAGGAATGCAAATATTTTTTAGATTTATTTTTTGTTATGAAAAAGTTATGAAGCATTGTAAGACTATTCAATTTGAAACAGCCATATTTCTCTGAAAACTGGAAGGTTTCAAGTTTTACATTTTAAGAAAAATGTAAAAGGTAACCCCTTCGTCCAAGTTTCATATTATTTTCTAGGCTACTTAAAATAATTTTGATGATTAGAGATGAGTTTCTTTGAAACTCTGAATTAAAGCCACGAGCACTTTCTGAATATCTTGTAATTCTTACAGATTTAAAGTTTACCAAAACCATCAAAAAGCCATTTTATAATACTCAGGAGTGCTTATCTCACATTTCATCAAAATGGTGGTGCAACACCAAGAGATGTCATGCCAGGACAAAATGTCAGAATACAGGATTTCAAGACAGTAACTCTGAACAACACGGATATGATAATCACCAACCAGTAGCTTTCAAATTTTCTAATGGTCGGGAAAAGCTGTTTCCTGTCCCTGCGTAGTGTCTATCTCACATTCAGTGAGAAGAATCCAACTGAAAAGCAAGATACATTTATACTGAAATAAAGTTCTTTGGCACCAAAGCAAGTCATGCTTTAGTTGGTTATGAAACACTAGTAGAGAAAAACAGGGAACATCCTGACATGCTGTCACACACAATCAGACCATGACCCATCCACACGGGGGTATTAAACTATTCTAGGTGGGCAAAGGGGCCCATGTGGACCAATGGCCACCAGGCTTTATGATGAATAGCAATCACAATAAAGGTCAAATTGTGGTCCATTCTCATCCATGTACAGATAGTCCCTGCCAGTGGAGAGATGAAATAGAGAACTGAGTAGATTATATTGATAATTTCATGAGGATGGGAGACCCATTTGCCTCAAATGCCTGGATGTGTCGGACCAAAATAAACATCTCTTCAAATCATCTAGATAATTCTTTTTGTTTTCTGCTTAACATTGCTTAAGTAGGCAAGGCTCATGAGAAAGCAAACAGTTATAAGGGCTTTTAAGATAATATTTAGTGGCTCTTCTTTACTTGCTATGTTACTTACCTATTGTCATTAAAGAATATTACATTATCTTCTATCTTAGTATGATAGTATATCTCCACTTGATCATCTACAATAAAAGTGATTTTAATTTGTCTTCTATAATAATAGAACTACATTAGGAACCTACTCTGTAGTTATTGAAAAAGCTTTGACTATGATTTTCTCTCTTAGTGTTAGTTGGAGAACCTAGGATATGGGTTTTTTTTTTTTTTGTGGTTAGCATTTTTTAGCAACAAACTATTTTTTAATTAAGGTATGTACAATTTTTTGAGGTAACAATTGGTTTATAACATTATATAAATTTTGAGGTGTACATCATTATATTTCAACTTCTGTATAAACTACATTGTGTTCACCACCAAAATTCTAGTTGCCATCCATCACCATACAGATGTGCCCCTTTACCCCTCTCGCCCTTCCTAAACTCCTCTTCCTCTCTGGTAACCACCAATCTGTTCTTTATCTATTTCTTTGTTTGTCTTTGTTGTTTTATCTCCCACATATGAGTGAAATCGTACAGTATTTGTCTTTCTCCATGTGACTTATTTTGCTTAACATAATACTGCCAGGGTCCATCCATGTTGTCACAAATGGCAAGACTTCATCTTTTTTATGGCTGAGTAGTATTGCATTGTGTATATAAACCACATCTTTTTTATCCATTCTTCTGTCAGTGGGCACTTAGGTTGTTTCCAAGTCTTGACTATTGTAAATAATATTGCAATGAACATAGGGCTGCATATATCTTTTCAAATTAGTGTTTTTGTGTTCTTTGGATAAATACCCAGAAGTGGAATAGCTGGGTCATATGGTAGTTCTAGTTTGAATTTTTTGAGGACTCTCCATACTGTTTTCCATAGTGGCTGCACCAATTTACATTCCCACCAGCAGTGTACAAGTGTTACCTTTGCTCCACATCTTCTCCAACACTTGTTACTTCTTGTGTTTTTTGGAAGAGGCATTCTAACGAGCTTGAGGTGATATCTCATTGTAGTTTTGATTTTCATTTCCCCAATAATTAGTGATGTTGAACATCTTTTCATGTACCTGTTGGCCATCTGTATATCTTCTCTGGAAAAATGTCTGTTCAGACCCTCCATTTTTTAATTGGGTTGTTTTTCTTGTTGAATTCTATGAGTCCTTGATATATTTTGGATATTAACCTCTTAACAGATATATGACTTGAAATATCTTCTCGCAGTGAGTAGGTTGTCTTTTCATTTTGTTGATGGTTTCCTTTGCCATGCAGAAGCTTTTTGATTTGATACAGGTTCACTTGTTTATTTTTTTCTTTTGTTTCCCTTGCCTCAGGAGACATATTCAAAAAGATATACCTAAGACCGATGTCAAAGACTGTACTGCCTATGTTTTCTTCTAGGACTTTTATGGTTTCAGGTCTTACATTCAAGTCTTTAATCCATTTTGAGTTATTTTTTGTATTTGGTGTAAGATAATGGTCTACTTTCATTCTTTTGCATGTGGCTATTCAGTTTTCCCAACACCATTTATTGAAGAGACTTTCCTTTCTCCATTGTATGTTCTTGGATTCATTGTCAAAAATTAGCTGTCCGTAGATGTGTGGGTTTATTTCTGGGCTCTCTCTTCTGTTCCATTGATCCTTGTGTCTGTCTTTCTGCCTGTACCATACTGTTTTGATGGCTATAGCTTTGTAGTATACTTTGAGATCAGGGAGTCTGATACCTCCAGCTTTGTTCCTTTTTCTCAGGATTGCTTTGGCTATTGGAACTCTTTTCTTGTTCCATATAGATTTTAAGATTCTTTGTTCTATTTCCATGAAAAATGTTGTTGGGGTTTTGATAGAGATTGCATTGAACCTGCAGATTGCTTTAGGTAATATGGACATTTTAACTATGTTTATTCTTCCAGTCCATGAGCATGGAGTATCTTTCCATTTCTTTGTGTCATCTTTGATTTCTTTCAACAATGTCTTATAGTTTTCAGTGTACAGATCTTTCACCTCCTTGACTAAATTTATTCCTAGATATTTTATTCATTTTGTTGTGATTGTAAGTGGGATCGTATTGATTTCTCTTTCTGCTAGTTTATTGTTAATGTATAGAAATGCGACTGATTTTTGTGTGTTGATTTTGGACCCTGCAACTTTTCTATCTTTGTTAATTATTTCTAATAGTTTTTTAGTGGATTCTTTAGAGTTTTCTATACATAAAATCATGTCATCTGCAAATAGTGACAGTTTTACTTCTTCCTTTCCAATCTGGATACCTTTTATTTGTTTTTCTTGCATAATTGGCTCTGGCTAGGACTTCCAATACTATGTTGAGTAAGAGTGGTGAAAGTGGGCATCCTTGTCTTGTTCCTGTTCTTAGAGGGATAGCTTTCAGTTTTTCACCACTGAGTATGATGTTGGCTGAGGGTTTGTCATATATGGCCTTTATTATGTTGAGGTACTTTCCTTCTATACCCATTTTATTGAGAGTTTTTTTCAGAAATGAATGTTGAATCTTGTTAAATGCTTTCTTTGTGTCTATTGAGATGATCATGTAATTTTTTTTAGTTCATTTCATTAATGTGGTGTATCGTGTTGATTGATTTGCGGATGTTGAACCATCCCGGCATCTCTGAAACAATCCCACTTGATTGTGGTGTATGATCCTTTTAATGTATTGTTGTATTTGACTTGCTGATATTTTTTTGAGGATTTTTTGCATCTATGTTCATCAGTGATATTGGCCAGTAATTTTCTTTTTTGTGTTGTCCTTGTCTTGATTTGTTTTAGGGTAATATTGGCCTCATATGATGAGTTAGCAAGCATCCCATCCTCCTCAGGTTTTTGGAAGAGTTTGAGAGGGATAGGTATTAAATCTTTGAATGTTTATAGAATTCACAGAGAAGGCTTGTAGTCCTGGGCTTTTGCTTTTTGGAGGTTTTTTATTAATGTTTCACTCTCTTTATTGTGATTGGTCTATTCAGTTTCTCTATTTCTTCTTGATTCAGTTTTGGGAGGTTATATGATTCTAAGGATTTATCTACTTTTTCTAGGTTGTCCAACTTGTTGGTATGTAGTTTTTCATATTATTCTCTTATAATCCTTTATTTCTGTGGTATCCATTGTAATTTCTCCTCTTTCATTTCTGATTTTGTTTAT